AAGTTGACAGGGGTTAGGAGGAGTTAGGAGTGGGAGGTGAGAGTTCCCTACTTGGGCTGTGTGCGGGCCGAGAGGCCTGGAGGCCCAGGCCCAGGCGCCTGACCCCTTCAGGGCTGCCTTCACTTCCCTCCTGCCCTCCTGCCCCAAAGCAGTGACCCCCTCCCCACTCCTTTCCAGCCCTTTTAGATCCGAAGGATCCAGTTCCCTGTGTAGAACCCCAAATCTGCTCCTTTCTGGAGTTGTAACAAATTCTAGAAATGACACTCCCTTCACCGGCAGGGACAGAGAGGCCAGGCCACATTCTGTGCTCCAGCTAAACCCGTGGTCGTTTCGCAGTTAAGCCACATGGCCTGGTGCTGCCCTGCGTTGGGTGCCTCTCTGGGCACAGTCTGGGTCTCTCCTCGGAGACGCTGTGAATTCCACCTCTCAGAGTGGTTCCCAGGTGTGCACCCTCCGTCCAGGGGAAGGGTCACTGTACCTCAGAACAATACCAGACACGGTTCCAGCCCACAGGCGATGTCCTGAGAGCGTCCCTCTAGGTCATCAGTGTCAGAGTATCCCAGGGCCACAGACTGTGACTGAGGCTGCCACCGAGCCTAGCCAAACTCGAGGCCTCTGAGATGGAGGCAGGGTACTGGAGAGCAAGCCTGTCAGGGGGTGAGGTGTGGCACCCCAGAAATCCAATAGAACCCGTTCCGTCGCTCCTGACCCCTCAGTGGCCCTGTGGTTAGACCTCCCTGCAATGCTCACTGGCCCACAAGATCCTCCTTCCTGCTCAGGATTCAGGGCCTTGACTTAACTTTCTGTCGGAGGAGGAAATAACTGGTGTAGGCAGGGTTCTGTGGTGCAGCCTGTCAGTCCCTGTCTGTCCTGCAGGAGTGTTCTGAGTGCTGCCCAACGAGGCTTCCCCTGAACCCTGCCTTCGTCAGACCCCGTTCCCCGAGCGTGTGTGTGGGTGAGAGAGACGCTCTTTCTCCTACAGATGTAGGAAGTGGTCAAGTGTAACCAGTGAAAGCCAGCAGTGTGTGATGCCTGGGCCAGGTCTGGGGTTTCAGATCGGTGCCCCTGAGCCCAGCAGGGGCTGCACTCTGCCAGGGGGTTGGCCGGGTTGGTTGCTCTCCAGGTTTTGGAGGGACATAGGTGTCCCGAGCTACAGGTTTCCTTTGAGTCCTGGTCCCTTGTCTGGGACCAGGAGGCCTTCAGTCCTATTTCTGCCCACTGCACCCCCTGCAGAAAGGTGATGTGGTCACTCAAGGATCTGAAGCCCCAGCTTCTGCCCCCGCCCAGCAGGGAGGAGGGTGCTGCTGCTGGGGCCGAGGGGAGGTGCAGGCTGGCGAGGTCCTCGGTTGTTGTGGTCCCTTCTTCCTGCCTGCAGCTTCACACCAAAGCCCACGTGGGCCAGGGGTCCAGGCTCTGCCGCCCTGGGGGGAGGAGGTGGAGGATGGTGGTGGCGAGAAAGAGGACAGAGACCAGTTTGCATAGTGCTGGGCCAGCACACTGTCTTTCTGCCTCGGGTCCAAAACGCCCACGGTGCGGGTCCCCGGGCTGCCGTGTTGCCGCCTGTGCCCACGATCTGTCCTGTGTCCTCTGCTCGTGCCTCCTCTGTCAATACCCGTCCTTGTAACAAAAAGGGACTTAGCAAATGCCAAGGAGTTACTATGTATCAGTCCAGCGCAAACCAAAAGCCTGGGCCAATAAACTAAAAGAACAAGGTGTGCTGGACACCGACTGCGTCACTCCGGGTAGGCCTCACTCGGCCCCGTTAAGCCCGTGGAGACATGAAGGATGGAGACCAGGGGGATTAAACTACTGGGCCAAGGTCACACAGCCCGTAAGCAGCGGAGCAGGGACCATACCCAGGCTTGTTCCCAGACCCTGTGCGTTGCAGTCGGCTCTCCACTGCTCCCTGAGCTCCCCTCCCCTGTCCTGCGATCCGTGAGCAGGCTGAGGCTCCGAGGTGGGAAGGGGTGTGCTCGAGGTCACAGTGTCTGGGCGACAAAGGGGACCGGAAACCCTCCCGACTCCCAGCCTGGAGCTCTGTGTGCGGCCCCGAACACCACCTCTCTGCCTGCTCATCCAGGAATCCCACAGCCCGAGTCCAGCCCTCTCATCTGGGCAGGGAGGGTCCCCTTCCCCCTCCCAGCAGCCAGCCTGTCCCAGCCTCCACCTCTCCGCTTTCCCAGTGGTAATTGCTTCCATCTGGCCTGCCCGCCTGCCCCATGCCTTTGGAAAAGGCTGCCGCCCACAGGGCTGCGGGGCCTCATCCGGCAACCGGGGCAACACGTCGGGAAGGGGGATGCCCTCTGTGGGGTAAGCACGAATCGGCCAAGGTGGCCGCTCCCGGTGCCTGGCATCCCCAGATTCCTGCCAGGCCGGAGCGCCTTTGCCCCATGCAGCCCAAGGCCTGAGAGGCTCCTTCGAGGCCCACTTCTCAGTCCAGGGGTGAACTCCCCATCTGCCCTTAGGGGTTGCTCAGGTCAGGAGTGGGAGGCCCCGGTGGAAGGGACAGCAGGAGAGCAGTGGTGCAGGGGGTGCACGGGGGACCCTCTGCGTCAGGGTCATGGGAGGTGAGTGAAGCAGGGACTCATGGTGGCAGAGGCTGAGGGACCCCAGAGCTTGGACAGGTGAAAATGGAGCCGATTTGTTTTCTGTGGTCCTGAGCAGCCGGCTCAGAACCAGCAGCACTGGATGAAACCTCACGTTTGGTCTTGATATGAATAAAAGAACGCTTGCGCTTGGTGACAGCACGTCGGCGCTCCGTGCCTCCCTCGCCTCCGGTTGTGTCCGGCGAGCCAGGCGGGGACCCCAGCGGGGCCTCAGCCTGGGCATCTGGACCTTTCAGGAGCCTGCTTCTGCCTGAGGAGGGTCAAGCTCCTTATCACGGAAGAGGTTCAAGTGCAGACCGTGACCTGGACAGGGACACTCCAGGGGAAACAGGCATGGAGGACGCGTTTGCTGTGTGGAATGGGGTTGGGAACATTTATGGCATTTTCCTCCCTGAGATTTTACGGATCTAGTCTGAGCTCCAGGAACCTGTCTGTCCTGTTCCCTGCTATCTCCTTCATGCCTCGAGTGGCATCCAGCAACTAATAGCTAAATAAATAGTTGTTTGATGAATGAATGCAAGGTGGAGCTCGGGTTTCTGATCTTGTCTTCACTGTGTCCCTGCTTTGCTCAAGAGCTTCCCTTTGGACAGGTGAGCTGTGTGTCAGAGAAGGGCCTGCCCCCTCCCCTTCAGACGCTGGAGGGGCAGGCAGGAGCCCCGGGGGGGCTGGGGGGAGCATACCCCTTGAGGGCGTGCCCTCATCCCTCCCAGTGTCACCCCTCCTCAGCCCACCCTCAGGTCCTGCACACGCTGGTCCCGACTCCACCTCCTGTCCCTGACGTCAGCCCTCTCCTCCTGTTTGGGGCCAAGAAAGGCACCCTGAGGGGTATAACCGTCTCTCAGGGGTCCAAGGAAGTGAGGGCCAGGGAGGAGGGGTTCACCCTATCATTGCTTCAGCCCAAACAGCTCCCCTTTTATTTCTTAGACAGACTGGGTTTCCACATAAAATTTCATACAAAAGTGGGACAGAGGGTTTTCTTGGCTGCCCTCCGCCTGCAACTCCAGCCTCTGTCCTCTGAACCCTCGCTGATGACCCGGCGCACTCCCTGTCCTGTGCCCAGCTGAGCCCAGGGGGACCACAGAGGGCAGGAGCCGAACCCTGACCACAGACAGGGTGGGGGCCGTGAGCCGACTTCCTGTACACCAGGGTGTTTCTTCCCTGGTGCACGGCCTTAACACCTCTGAAGGAGGAGCGTTCAGATCAGACCTCAGTGCCCTGGACGCCGGCTGGTGTATTTTATGTGATTCGGGGTGTGGGGCAGAGAATGGAGTGTCTACCCGCTGGCCCTGGAGAAAAGGGCGTGTCCATGCAGGAGTCGCTCCTGCGGACACCCCTGGTGTCTAGTCCCAGCTATGTGACCTCTGACAGGTCTCCGATGTCATTGGTTTTCTATAAGCACCTCTGTTAATTGGGCTGTTGATACCTGCCCCACCTCACACGATCGCGATGCATCAGTGAAACAAGCGTGCAAAACTGGACGAAGCCTCAGCCCCGCAGGGCAGGGCCTGCCTGCTCACCGTGGTGGCCCCGGCACCTGGCACCCACTCAGGAACTGTTTCTTTCTGCGAATCTTGCTGTTCAAGGTCACAGACTAGCTCTGCCTCCAGGCAGGGGGCTGCCTAAGGAGTGACCCTGGTCCCTGCCCCTCCATCTCACCCCTGTTGCCATCTGGTTTTGTGCTCTGGGGTCCTGGTTCTACTCAGCCTTCCTGTTCTGCAAGTCCCAAGGGTGCGGGCTGCCTGGGCAGTGCCCACCGTCCTGCTGCTCCTGGACTGGCTTGTGGGGCCCAGTGTGAGCTCAGAGCTGCTAGGACACGTGTTCGTGAGGTGGGGGCAGTCCCCCAGGGGTGGGCTAGGTTGCTGACCCCCTTCTTTTCTTGCTCCTCTTAGGTCCTTTCCCTCCCTTTCTTTTCCAGTCTTTTCTGGCTTCCTCCCCTTTTCCGCCTTTAGATTCAGTCATCTCTCTTCCTTGGTGCCGCCTCCTCTTTTCCCCTTGGTCCTCCCCCTCCTCTGCCAGCCCGTAGCATCCAAGGAATGATCCTGACCGGGGCAGCTGGACTTGGTGGGCGCCCTGCGGGGCTGGGGGTTCAGGGCACCTCCTGTTGTGAGCAGGTCCGGGTTTTCTAGTGGGGGCTCTGCCAGCAGCTGGCTGGGGAAGGGGCACGGCCTGCCCGAAGTGTGGCGTAGCTCCGGGGCCTCCCGCCGCCTCGGGCCTCTTCCTGGGCAGGGCAGGGGAGCGTGTCCTGGAGCCTGAGGGTCTCCAAAGAAGAGCTGGCCAGTGGGGTTTGCTGGCCTCTGACCTCTGCCCTCCACCCTCCTCTCCCCAGAGCTCCAGCTCTTTCCCCAGGCGTACCCGCTGGGATGGAGGCGGCTGGCCAGAGCAGGGAGGAGGTTTCTGCTCAGACGCCTTCCAGGTGAGCACACACAGTGTCGTGCTTGGGCTGATTGATGTGTGTATATGTGTGTGTGCGCGCTCTGGGAGCGTGCGGATGAGTGTGTGCAGGGGTCGTGTGTGACAGAACATGGACACAAACATGGTGCACTTCGAGGGTCTGAGCCCCTCCAGGCCCGCTGCTGCAGCCCTGCTCCTGGCCCGGAGCTCCCCTGTGGTCTTGGTGACCCTGGCTTCGCACTGTGGCTGTGTTCTGTCCTGGGGACCAGCTGGTCTCCTGCTGTGGCCCCACGCAATGGTGATTGATCCCTGGCCACCCGTTCGGCTGCCCGGGGGCCCTGAGGCCAGCATTTGCTCACCCCACCCCCCAAAATGGAGGCATGTGGGGGCTTCCTGCCTGGTGTCTCAGCCCTGCCAAGGCGGAGGGAATGGGGAACAGCTGCGCTGGCTGAGCCCAGCGCCGTATGGATGTGGTTTGACAACAAAGCTCCCTCTGTGTGTTCTCAGGCCCCTTACATAACGGGCAGGGAGTCAGGCGGGAGGAGGTGGGGACCGGGACAGGGAGACACCAGGATGGGTGGCTGGAGAGGGCACAGGGACCAGGAGGAGAGGGAAGGGGAGCAAGGGGGGGGGGGGAGAGAGAGAGACCATGGAGAAAGGGAGGGAAGAGGAGAAAAAGCTTGTCCTGACCCTACAGCTCTACTTCCTTTTCCTGGGGTGGGAGGGAGGTAATGTCCACATCTCCCACCTTTTGCCCTGTTGATGCCTTGTCTTCCCCTTTGAGTCCCAACCAGCCTGGACACGTGGCGCAGGGGACTGAGGAGGGGCTGGGGACCTGGGAGGGAGGCCAGAAGGGGTTTGGGACTGGGCCTACGAGTCCGTCCTTAGCCCAGCCCCACCCTGTAACCAAACACATTCCTTAAAGATGGGAATCATTCTCCTTTACTCATTTTTTTTTTTTAATTTGACTTTTTGTTTTAGTGAGAGAGAGAAAATGTTGATTTATTGCTCCACTTATTTATGCCTTCATTGTTTGATTCTTACATGTGCCCTGACTGGGAATCGAACCTACAACCTTGGCACATGGGGATGACGCTCTAACCAATTGAGCTGCCTGACCAGGGTCCTCCTCTATTCTTGGTTGTCTGCTCCCTCCTCCCAGGCCCCGGGCCGGCTCCCGCTGCCCCTCTGGCCGCCCGCTTCCTAGTGTTGCTGAGTCCGCTGACCCTGTCTGCACCGGCGGGCAGCCCCCGAGCCCGCCCCACTCACACTCATGCCCCAGCCACGGCCTCCTGCAGCTCCAGACCCCCGCCCACCCCTCAGAGGCCCTTTGGTCCGGTGTCCTGCTGTCTCCTCCCTCAGTAATCAGACCCTCTCTTCTCACCATCACTGTTTCTGCAGCTGCCCAAATAGAGTGAGAAGGAAAGGTTCTCTCTCCGGAACAGCTGGACTGGCAGGCCAGGAGGGCCAGGTGAGCTGGCCGGCTTCAGTGCTCTTGGTGGTGGGAGGTGCCCTGTACCAGGGCCCTGACCCTGTCAGCTCCTAGGTGGGAGAAAACACCCCGGGAAGAGGCCAGGAGGTCCGTGGGGCCTTCAGGTGGGGCCCGGGCTCCTAGGCTGGCCTGGTCCCCTACATTTTCTCAGGGTCTGTCTTCTGCGCCTCGGTGTCTTCTGGCACAGGCTTTCTTGGAACAGGGTGGGTTTGAGCCCCAGGGTCGTACTTACCCCTAGGCCGCAGGGATGGACAGGGCCGGCCCCTTAAGAACAAGGATGGCTCCTAAAAGGGCAGGGAGGAGCTGTTGGCAACCCCAAGTTCTCCTGGGCATAAGTGACAAATACAGGGAAACACTTGACTTGACCCCTGGCATGCCCTCAGTTAGACTTAGGGTTTCTGCCCAGGGGGTATGCTGTCCACTGGGACACTGCTCGCTGGAGAGGTGGTGTGGGCAAACCCAGACCTGCTGAACTGGCTCTAGGCTGGACTCCTCAGTGCCCAGGCCCTGACCCGCCCATCCTGCCCTCCCCCCACCTCCCTGAGTCTGGGTCCTGGGCGGATCTGAAATTGCTAAGGCCTCAGGGCTTGAACTCAGAAGGTCTGGGGCTGAGGCAAGTGGCTGGAGGAGGGCCTAGGAGTTTCCTGGATTCGTGTGGGGTGGGCCAGGGAGACAGTCCCTGTCACTGGGATCAGGATTAGGTGCCCGGACACGCTGTGAGGATGGTGAGTGAGCACTGTGAGGGCGCTGGGCAGGGTTGCTCTCCACAGCTCCAGGCTGCCAGACGACAGCCCCCTGCCCCTGGGGCACCCCAGTGAGGCTGTCTTCATGCCCTGGCTTTCCTGCAGCTCTCTCCAGAGCCACCTTCCCAGGCGCCCTTCCTGGGAACTGGGCGAGACTGGGCCGGGCAGAGGACTTCCCTTTACCGGACTCCGGCAGAGATCCCTCCAAGGCTGAATTAGCCACTCCCAGCTCCTCTGGGAGCTTCAGGCTCCCTGGCTGGAAGCTCCAGGGACCTTCAGCCTAACAAACAAACTCTGCTGGAGCCCGAGCTGATGGTTAAGAAGCCCTGTGGGCAGTGCCCTGCGCCGTGGGATGGGGGAAGAGATCGCCCTGGCAGAGGGGGTCCAGCGGCCCCCAGAAGCTGTATGTTGGGAGTAGGGGTGGGAGGCAGGGAAGGAGGGCGAGGAATGTGTGTGTAGCAGTTACCATGGTCCTACGTCTCCAGTGTTTGTTTTGGGTGCGCACCTGTGCTTGAGCAAGGATCGGTGTGTTTGTGCAGAGATGCGTGTGTAGGTTTTTGACCCTGGGAGGCTCTGAGTGGGCCAGAGCCAGGTTGGCCTAAAAAGGGCTCAGTGCTATCCCAGTGCCTCCAGGCTCTGGGTGTGGGTGGGCCCCTGAGCACCACACAGGGGCTGGGCGAGCCCCGGACAGAGGTGGCCCTGGATCATTTCTAAGCACCTGCCAGCTCTCCAGCCGGCATTCCCACCGGCCCTGGGCCCCGGCGTGCCGCCAGAGGTCGGCACCTTCCCTAGCTGCACCTCGCTGCCCCTCCTTCCCTTCCCTTAACCTTTCCTCGCACGAGAGTCCTAGACGAAAAGCCTACCTGATGGGAAGAGGCCTGTCCTTCGGCTCTCTGTCCCCAGGGGACAGGCTGATGCCGGAACTGGAGGTCTCGGTTTCCCTTTTATATGGTTTTATTCCCTCTCCAGAGACCCCACCTGCCCCTACATGCACGGCGTCCCCCTTTTCATACTCTCTCCCCGCCCCCAGAAGCTGCAGCCCTATGGGCGCCTGCTAGGAATTCAGGAGTGGCCCCTCTCCTGCTGATGCCCTGCAACCGCTTCGTTCCAGAGTCACTATTGCAGGCCGGTCTGCACCCGGTGCTGACCAGATGTACCGGTGATGGAAGAGGGAGGCTCCAGTCCGCAGCAGTGAGCGTCCCTGCTGGAGCTGGGGGCCAGGGGAGAGGTTTCCGTGTCGGAACCGTTGCTGCTCCCGTGCCCTCCGAGGAACGCAGTGCTGCCGGCCCCACACGTGGGCCAGGGCTGGCCTTTACCCAGCTCTGCAGAGATGCCAGGCCTGGGTGTTGCCCTGCAGTGTCCCTGCTTGGGGACTTTGGGAGCACCTGCTCTGGACAGAGATGCCATTCTGGAAATAAGGCACCGCTCCAGTGATGGGGGTGCTGCTTCTGGCGCCCAGTGGGCAGTGCCCTGCGCCACAGGCCGGGGGGAGAGAGTGCCCTGGCAGAGGGGACCCAGCGCCCCCAGAAGCTGTGGAGAGGGAGTGCTGCTCTTCCCCGGTCGAGGATCTGTGCCAAGCCCTGTTGGGGTGGCTGTCAGGTGGACCCGATCAGGCGCCTTGGCACCGACTCTAGGAGATGCTGGCTTCCCAGTGTGTCCTCCTTCCCTAACCCACTCCATGCTCCTCGCCTCCTCAGCCTGGGCCTCGAGCCTGGCCACGCTGTGGGATGTGCGTTTAGAGCAGGGTACAGCCTGGCTGCCGACGCACCCCCTTCTCTGCTGAGCAGCTGCGTGTGTCCCTGGCGGCATGTGCCGTGGCCTCAGGGTCCCGGAGGAGAGTGAGTGTGGCTGCGGACCCCTCCCTTTCTGGGCTGGGCGGAGTCCAGTGGACCCCAGACAGCTCTCCCTAGATCCCTGGGTGGCAGAGAGCACAGAGGTTCTGAGCAGTGCAGACTGTTTGAATCCTTCCTTCCTGGCCCCAGCACCTTCTAGCTGCCTGACCTCGGGACCTGTAGCTTAATTGCTCTGTTCCTCAGTTTCTTCTTCTGTCAATCAGGATGAAAGCAGACCCCCCACAGTGTTTTACAGATGGAATGAGATTGTGCATGGTGGCTGCAGGTCAGCACGGAGCTTCTAAAAATGAGAGCCCAGGGCTGTTGCCCTGTGGATGCCCTCCTGGGACTACTCATGAGACCTGGATGAAGTCCAGGCTCCTGGGCTGCCTGTGATGTCCTTCACCACCTGGCCCTAGGGGCCTTCCCGGCACCGCCGTCCGCCCTTCCCTTCGTTCCGTCAAAACTGTCTGCTTTCGGTTCCTCACACACAGCCTCAGGGTCTCGGTTCTTCTCAGTCTGGAACCTCCCCCCTCCCCGCTGGCTGCCCGGCTCCTGCTCCCCTGTCCTGTCTTACTGGCCTCGCAGGAGGCATCATGGTCACGTGACATGACTCACTTGTTTGTTTGTTGTCTGTCTCTCCCCAGCAAGGTGTGCATTCCAGGGACACGGCCTGTTTCCGCGTCGTAGGCCCTCGGTCCCTCGGGCTCTGCTTTCTGTTGGGCTGCCCGGCCTCACAGTGTCCTGGGAGGCCTTGGGACCCCAGCCACCCTTGGGGCTGTTCTTCAAAATGAGCCCTTCTGAGGAGCAAGTAGAGGAGGAGGAGGGTCCATGTCCTGGACCCACATGGGCTCAGTCCTTGGGGTGACTCACTTAATTGACTAGCTGTAGGATGTAGATACGTATGAGCCAAAGGTGTCATGAGTGACTCCCGCGGAGGCCACACCACTCATAA